ACGACGCCCCCCCCCCCCCCCGCATCGAGCGCTGGACTGTGCACAGCAGCGCCACCTACAGATTCCTGGCACAACAGTTAGGATCACACTGGAGCTAGAATAAAACTGGGCACGCTCAAAATGCAGCAGCGAATCCACATTTTAGCAAAAGAACTGCAGCAGTTTGGAACCTCCAAAAGCTTAAATGTTACACTTCACATGCACTCCCCAGCTCTTCAGTCCAACACCATTTACAATTAGGGAGATATTAACCGGTGTCAGTGCAAGCAAATCCGGATGAAGAGCATGAACATTTCCCACAGTTGCTTGGACTAATTTAGGGCACGGACCCGCAGAGGCACTCAGGAACCCCTCGAGGGCAGGGAGGGCTCCAGCAGTTTGAGCACCAAGCAAGTCACTTCGCCAGCCTCGGTTCACTGTGGAGTTTTCCCGATCCTCACGCTGTCCCTGGTCCGGAACCTGAAAGCCATGGGAGACCCACAAGTCAAGTAGTTCCTTGTGTCGGTCTCCACCGATACGGGTGGGGAAGGCCCTAGACTACCCTGAGGAAAAGGGCTTTTTTACTATCACCAGAGCCAAACTTTTCTGCCCGAGCTCCAGCTGAATACATGAAGTGGCTTCATATGACGTCAGTCCCCCCCCCCCCCCCCCCCCGCCCCCCCAGAGGTCTATTCCAACTGGTGGCTCTCCAGGGTCTGAGAGGTTTTCCCCGCTACCAGCTACCCACAATCCTGCCGAAGGACTGCTTCCAGTTTGGTGTCGTGGTTAAATGCGCAGACTCTAATCTGGGAGAACCAGGTTTGATTCCCCACTCCTCCTCCACTTGCACCTGCTGGGTGACCTTGGGCAAAGCCATAGTCCTGTCAGAGCTGTTCTCGAAAAAAGGGCAGTTTCTGTCAGAGCTCTCTCAGCCCCGCCTACCTCACAGGGTGTCTGTGGTGGGGAGGGGAAGGGAAAGGAGTTTGTAAGCCGCTCTGAGACTCCCTTGGGTAGTGAAGGGCCATGGGGTATAAATCCAATCTCTTCCTCCTCCTCCAGCAGAAGAGTAGAGCCCTCCCTGAAACGGGACACTGGGGAGGAAGAAGATGCAGGGAAGTATATAAAAGGCCGGCTTTGTTTCAATTGGAGATGAGGATGAAGGTTAAAAAACCAAAGGCTTCACAGAAATGGGTTTTGGTGAGAGATCTGTAAGAATGAACGGTTTAAGTTTGTGTTTTCAAGCATATTGGATCGCAAAGCCACTGTAGCTGGCAGTATGCACCGTCAAGTCACTCACAGGCTGACCCGGTAGGGTTTTCAAGGCAAGAGACGTTCAGAGGTGGTTTGCCCTTGCCTGCCTCTGCACCATAACCCTGGCATTCCTTGGAGGTCTCCCATCCAAGCAGCCGACGGGGCCGACACCCCTTCTGGAACAAGGTTTTAAGTCCAGTCAGGCACCTTTAAGACCTGACCAGCAAAGCTTTATTCAAGGAATAAGCTTTCGTGCCCAAGCACAGTTCGTCGGAGACCCTTCTTCACCTTGTATTCACAGATGAACAAAACCTGGTTGGTCTTAAGGGTGCCTCCGCTGGACTCAGACTTTGTTCTGCTGCTTCGGACCAACACGGCGACCCCCACCTGGATCTAAATAAAAATTGTTTTTCCTAACCCCTGATGGTTCATAGGTAGAGCTGCCAACCCCCAGGGGGTGGCTGGAGATCTGCTATCACAACATCCCCAGACAGCAGCAGAGACCAGTTGCCCTGGAGAAAATGGTTGCTTTGGAAGGTGGGCTCTGGCATTATACCTTGCTGAGGCCCCTCCCCTCCCCTCCCCAAACCCCGCCCCCCTCAGGCTCCACCTCCCAAATCTCCTGGTATTTCCCCACCTGGAGATGGCAACCATATTCATACAGTTCTTTCCTCAGAGCAATCTCTAAACAGCACTTCGTCCTTCTAAGTCCACTGACTTCAGTGGACTCTGAAGTCCACTCAGACTTCCCCTGTTAGCGGCCGGCTGATCAGAGGCACAGAGCAAATGAGATTAGGTGGTCTCAGGAACAGTAGAGAGAGCGCAGAGCCCCCACCAGAAGGCCTAGCTTTATCCCTTTGGTGTCCTCTGAAGACAACCAGTTTCTTGGATCTCTTGGGGACATTTCTCTCTGATCCGCTCCTACCACAATGGAGAGCCAGTTTGGTGTAGTGATTAAGTGGGCGGACTGTAATCTGGAAGAACCGGGTTTGATTCCCCACTCCTCCACTTGCACCTGCTGGATGACCTTGGGCAAGCCGTAGTTCTGATAAGAGCTGTCCTTGAAAAAGAGCACTTTCCGTCAGAGCTCTCTCAGCCCCACCCACCTCCCAGGGTGTCTGTTGTGGGGAGGGGAGGGGGAGGAGTTTGTCAGCCGCTCTGAGACACCTTTGGGTAGCAAAGGGCGGGATATAAATCCAATCTCCTCCTCCTCCATTTGGTAAACCTGGGGGGTAGATTACTGTAAATCACTCTACGTAGGGGCTGCCTTTGAAGACAACTTCAGAGAGCTTTCCAGATGAGTTTTAATTTGTTATGTTTTTATCTGTTAGCCACCTCCAAGTTAACCCTCCAAAGGCAGAAAGGCAGGGTAAAAAAATCTTGTTAAATAAACTCAAAAGTTCAATTTGTACCACTGAGTACACACAGCTGCTGACAGAAGCTAATAAACTCTAGCCAGATTGCCCCAGATCTTGAAACATCTGCCCTGGCTGCCAGCTCGTTCCCACATCCGGTTCAAAGTGCTGTTTTTGACCTTTTAAGGGTCCCCTCTCAGTGTCACCCCCCCCCTCCAGCTTGCTTCACGCTTGTCACTCGAGGCCCAAGGGAGATCGGGGCGGTTTCAGCTCTTACTCCGGCTTCCCCAACAGCAACCTAGCCTTTTGAAAGGGGTGGTCCCTGGAGAACTCTGGGAAGTGCCAAGTCCAGCAGCCGTTAGGAAAAAAGATTAACCCCGATTGATAAGCATCTGTGGAAGCTGACCCTGGCTGCCATCGCTGGTATTGGCTGCCTCTTTGGAAACCTCGTCGAGAGCCTGAGCCAGGATTTCTTCACGCGAAAAAGGGAAAGGCTGAAAGGCTTAGCAAACTCTCGAGTGGCTCCAGTTTTCATCTTCCTCTTGGCTGCCTCTCCATACTGCTTCAAGCAAGTATCTCCAACCCCCCCCCCCCTTCTTGTTCCCAGACAAATTCACACACAAAAATGAACTTGTGAACTCTGCCAAGTTAGCAAGTGGCCTCCTTTCAACCTCTATCCCCCCCCCCCACGTGATTTACAGCTGGAAGCTCTTGGCTGCAAACCTTGAAGCCTAATTCCTTCGCCATATTCTGACTTGGTTAAAAAGGCCTTGAATTCTAGAGTTGCCAGCTCCCAGCTCAAACCTGTTAAAAGCCAGTTTGGTGTAGTGGTTAAGAGTGCGGACTCTAATCTGGGCGAACCGGGTTTGATTCCCCACTCCTCCACTTGCACCTGCTGGTGTGACCTGGGGCCAGTCACAAGTTCTTTCAGAGCTGTTGTTTCAAGGGCAGTTCTCGAGAGCGCTCTCTCAGCCCCACCAACCTCACAGGGTGTCCATTGAGGGGAAGGGAAAGGAGATTATAAGATGCTCTGAGACTCCTTCGGGTAGTGAAGGGTGGGGTATAAATCCCATCTCCTCTTCTCTCTTGACTGGTGCCTAACGGGCCAGGACGAACGGAACCTCTCTGAGGAGGGAACTGCTGACCCTTGTCCCGTGTGATTATCCTTTGTCCCTACCTGAAAGGTCAAAACTGGCAGCTTTAACGGAAACCGGAAACCAACAGGAAGCTAATGAAACCAACACATCTGGGTAGGGCATTCAAGCCAGCTCGGTCCTATTTACAGTCTTGAGGTTGCATATGGCCTGAAATTCCCATTTGAAATTAAGCCATCATCAAGTTAGGAGGAGATCTTTGAAAACACACAAGAAAATGAAGTGCACAATAGTTTGGACCACTTCCAAAATGGCATCTGCCGCCACGAGTGGAGCCTGCCAAGGTTGTGCGGCCTGGAGAAGACAGCAGGGCCGGAGATGCTGGACTTAGTGTGCGCTGCAGCACTACTCAAAGAGAGGCACATTCCATGTCTGGCTTCTAGCCCAGGAGTGACCAGAACCACTCCCATGACACAGAGCACCACTGGAAAGGTGGGACACACCGGCTGCACAAATGACAACCACCACAGCACTGGTTTTTCAAAAAAAAACCCTCTGTTTTTCCTCACTTTTATAACACTCTTACTCCCTCCGGGCAAACAGCTTAGGAGTGCATTTAAAATCTGGGAAATCACTGCAGGGAAGGGTTAAGGCACCAGGGCCCCAATCCTTTCCTACCCGTAGCTTTTTAAAAACAAAACAAAATGCACATCTACCCTGGGCCTCAAGCGGCCAGCAGAGGCAGCCAGCCTGACAAAAAATGCAGGGTGCCCTGTAAGCATGCCACGGGAAAGGAGGGGGCTTTTGCAAAACTGCCCTCGGCCCCCCTGCCGGAGGAGGCCTTTCCAGATAGGAAGCGGAGACGATCGCTGGGGAGCAGGAGGGCCGCCAAGGTCAAAGGAGGGATTGCCCGACTGCCAGGCCAAGGTTCTCGGCTTCCTTAAAAAAAAAAAAAAGGCAAAATCCTGTGCACCGAGGAAATGGGCCACTTATGCCTCTACTGCTTTCGAGGACCTAACCCGGTTTATTGGCCTCTGTTCTCTCCTCTCCATTGCCTGCCCTTCCCCTGCCCCACCCTCCCACAAGCTCCTCCCTTTGGGCACCCTTCCCACTCACGTAATGATAAAGCACAATGTCTGTTGCAGGTGCTGTATAAATAACAAGGAATGAACTGGGCGGGAGGGGCTGCGAGAACGGCAGGGAGAGGAGAGGAGAAAATCCCGCCCCCCC